CTGAACCGGAGGCTCAGCAGCAACATGACAGCAGATGTAAACAATGTTAATAGCTGTACAAATGAATAATTCATCTTAAGTTGTCATGATACATCAAAAATGGAAATGAAGAGAGGCTTCCACTGAGAATGTCTAAACTGTTCCCACAGATGCTGACTGATGTAACAGTTCATCTAATTTAATGACACCCTGTGGACTTTGACTCCGTCTTTACCTGTGAGACTCATGTTTAAGAGTTTATGGCACCTCACAGCTGTACAAAGAACAGAGGACATGCACATACCAAACCTTTTTTTTTTTTTATACACACATACAGCTCAGTCTAGTTAATTTCAGGGTTGCAGTGCAAGCCTAAAAAGGGCTTGAGAGGCATTGTTCCAAACAGCATAGAGCTTTCAGGATTTGTAGGTGTTTTGAACTGAAGCTCTTACCCAGCGCGTTGAACGTGGCGACGTGTTCCCACATGTTACTGGGTTGGTCAGGATGGGGCTGCCACACCAGAGCATCCACATCATGTCGGAGGCAGAGGCAAGGCATTTCAGATGGGTTCACGTCTACTGTGAACAGGTACTGATGGCTGCCCAGATTCACCTGGACAGAGACACACAGGAGGGACAGGGACGGGTGTGATTCAAAGCTAGTTCACCCAGGGGCATATCCCTCCGTGCCACACAGACAGGGACACAGTGATGGACACAGTAACTAGTCTGAAGATAATGCCTGTGAATCTGCAGGTGATTCCCATTGCACGCCACCCATTGTATAAAGCCAGCCAGTGTAATGCAACGCTTCAGCTACCATTCCCATCATTCTTCATGTTGATCTTGAGGTTAAATGATGGTCAATTAAGAGACTGATGAGAAGAGAGCAGCAACAAGCCAAGACAGTAGTGAGAAAAATGACAGATTTAAAAAAAAAAACTAGATAAAATCCCTCTACGTGTTTCTGACTACATGGTTATGAATATTACTTGCACAGTATTACATAGATATAATATTATAGAGAGATTACAAATTGTTTGCTGCAGATCTCCCTTAAAATTCAGCATATGGGCAAGCAGTGCTCCTGAACAGCAGCTGATAACAGCCATAAAAGTCCATGTATTTGCCCCACATTCACCTCACTCTGATAAATGTGCTTAATGTAATTGTCTGTGTGCAGTTTGCTGCTATTCCAGTCTGAATCCAATTGTTTCGGAGAGAAAATGACCGTTGTTTTGACATAACCGTCCTCAGCGTCTGACTGTTCACACAGATCCCCCATTCAAAATCAACCCACATCCTGCGGAGCAAACTGCCAACATGTCTCCATGCCTGTCAGGCACCACTGTCCTCCTCATCTCAACAAACACTTGACAGGCATTGAAAAGGCAGCGTTAGCCAGCCCTTAAAGTATGTTGGTGGTTGAACACAATAAAGAGTCATTTAGAAAGCTGTCACTCCTCCACACTAAAACCCATTTTCCTGCCACTGGTGTCTGACTTAGAGTGTCCAGCAGATGTTCACTCACGCTAGAGCCTGTGTGCGACTGACAGTGATGCCGTTGATTACCCGAGACATGATGTGTGAGGAAAAGAAACAAACAAAACAAATAATGAAAACAAAAATGACTGACTTAAACCAGAAGATTTTATACGTCTTGGAGAGCAGAGCAAACACCATGTTTCACTACAATCTACAACAAGCGATTTCATTGATTAGTTCCTCTATGTTGAATAATGCTAATCAATCAATGGCATCAGCTGATATAAAATCAGTAAGCTCAGTTGATAGGCTTTTATATGTACTATCAGAAACTCTAGTTACCTCTCTCTTAGTATCGGAGACAATAATATTCTTTGACCTCACCCAAAGACGCTCTTGCTGGGTGGGAGAGCGTGTGTATATTGATGTTATGGTTAATGTGCCATAAAGGCATGCTGAAGCTGGAAACCAATCATTTTAGTTAGCAAACTCAACTACATGCCACCTTTAATAGGAACTCCATTACCCAGAAACATAAACCTGCATGATAGTTGGTCAGATTATTTAGTTTTCCTTCTCTAGCTTGGAACACTTTCAAAGTCGGTGACTAAGTATTGTTACTGTATGACTAATATATGGCCCCAGTTGTGCTTGACCCGGGTCTTGGAAAATGAAATCATTTCCTCTGATATTCTGTGGCTTGTTAACACATTATAGTCACATTCTCAAAAAGGAAAAATCCAATAATGTGGCTTTTATCTCATTTTTTACCGCACACCTTTTCCAACAGCCTCTGGCCTGCCTATTGTGTCAGAGCTGTACTGCAATGGGTCCAGGTCTTACCGTATAAACCGGGGCAATCAAAACCTCTGCAAGAAAGTCAACACAGAGAAATGAGAAGAGTGAAATCTCTGTTGTATTGTTGAATGAAGAAGATTTAACTGCCAGTAGCGAAACAAAGCAGAAGATTAACCTGTAGAAACCAGAATCAGTTGCCTGATAATCCCTATGTTACCCGGAAAACAAGATACGCTATTCATAACAGACTGTGAATTAAAAAAAACATTGTTATTATTAAACACTGCTAATGCCCTGCGTACAGTGAAAATATCCTCTGGTATCCGTCAGTAGGCAAAGTATTCCACTGCATACAGCAAGACTGTTAAACACATTTAACTGATCTACACTGCAGAAGCAGAACAGGGTGAACATGTGCCTCCTTTATCTCTGCTTGATACCCGGTGGGAGAAAATAACAGTGCTCAAGTACTGCAAAATCATTCTGTATAATAACTCAATTTTTACTTTTAAAATCTTAAGGCCAAGTTGGCAGAAAATGTCCTGACGTCAACATGTTATTCATTTAATTCCAATAATAATAATAATAAAATAATTCAGAGGACATTTCAATTTGGGTGAAATCATCAGACCTCATTCTCATTTAACAAAACAAATTACTAAAGCTATTTTAAAAGCATGTAAACAAACTGCAGTATATACTTATACAAAGTATAAATATGAATTAGTCCATTATTGATTTTATAAACAGCAGCTTGACCATCTTGTTTCCAAAGCCCTTGACCATGTCATAGCCCTATACAACAGATTTGTCCACGTAAGATACAGTGATAGTGGCTGCATGACTATTGTACAAACACATGAAGCACTACTAATAGACTCAGCAGAGACAAGTACTGAGAATAAATTACTTGTACCTGTTCTTGGTCTGAAGCAAGCTTTCACTTTTCTGTTTATCAAAGGCTTTACAAGCTTTGTAGATGGAGGACAGGAAGTGAGAGGGTTGCATTACAAAAGCACAAGCATCTGTGCACAGAAGACACTGCAATAAAAGCTGAAATGTCAGCTCTCTGTCGTCACCATCATTTCTGCCGTCATGTTCCTGCAAGCTGCTGTTGCTCACCCACCTTCGCAGCGACAGGACAAATCGCTGCTTATTTTGTCTCAGCTTTGTCTTGTAAAACCAGCCAAGTGTGTTTTGTTTGACTGTAAAGAAACCAGCAGCATTAAATATCATTCTGACATGATGACCTTTGATATCAGTCTTGTGTGTGATTATAAATGTACAGTAGTAAACTCACTATCCCACAGAGTGTCGGCATATGGAAATCACAGTTAATTATTACTGGTCCTTTGAAAACATGTGGTGTTAACAGCTACATTGTTGGCAGGTTTGGACAAGTCTGTGCAGGCATCTGGTTTCAACAGATCCATTTTCCAATCAACAGCTACATGTCTAGAGAGCTACAGGTTTTCAAATAAATCCTCCATGCCTCTATCGGGAAAGTCTGCAGTAACTACAGTTCCCACATGTAGTTACTTCACTGTAAAAGGTGTTCGAAATATGGACAGTGGATATGACTCACTGCCTAGCTCAGGGGGAACATATAAAAACCATTCTTCTTTTCAGCCTGGATTGAAATCAAAGGGAAGCAAACCAACAAAAGGCGCCAAATTAATAGGAGGTGCCACAATCTTAAGTGGAAAGGGCAGCATATATCCTAGTGGGCAGGTGGACGACTACAGCATTAAGGTGGATACAATGAGAGCAGGAAGTGAAGAACAGAAAGGTACGGCTTCCTGGATGTCATAAACACACACCTGTATACACTCACATATACACTCAAATGTTCACACATGTGGAACAAACAGACCCACTGTTCATCATAAGGCTGATGTTTTAGGTACAATCCACCTTATTTAAGGGCAGCAGCTTTTCTCGCTGTACTATTTCCAGACTAAATGGAGAGAGAAACATTAAAGGGCTTTTATTTCCAAAAAGCCCTACATCACAGCCTTGGCAGAAATACTGTACCTTATCTCCTGTTACTCATTATTAGCCTTTCATTACATAATGAAAGGGCTCATTTTTGACTGTTGTGAGAGTTTTGAGATGAGTAATTCTTAACCATAAACAGAAATTATTTTGTTCAAATGAAACAGAAAGAAAAGCATAGGTGGTGGACAATGGCTGGTGTCCACACATGAACAGAGCTTTTGAAAAATGTTATTTATCTGCTTTTGAAAAAGAAAACCATTCATTTATGCTCATTATTTGGTTTTTCTATAATACACAGATAAGGTTGTTACAGCTGCCTCCTGAAATACCTGCGTCATAGATCAGAATATTTCAGAAGAAAGAAGAATTTTGAAAGCATGTATGTCACTTCCATAAATGAAATATGAATGAAAACCCTTTTAAGGAGCTGTTAATAAATCCATATTTTTCTTATCAACTGCGTGTGTTCTGCCCAGGCTCACAGATCACCTTGTCTTCAACACAGACTGCAATATGTGACGTCTGTTTTTCACCTTGGGACAAATAAGAGTGAGAGAAGGAGACTGCTGCAAGTTTCTACCTCAAACATTCTGAATGAAGAAAGAAAACATGCTCTGATTTTCCTCAGTCATTTCTGGTTTTGTGCAAAAACCTCCTGATGCTTTAGAGAAGCAATAAATAATCCAGGGCTGAAATTTCACTAGGAAGCATTCCATATTAAATGTTAGTAAACCTCGGTCATACCACAGCTTCTCCTGTAAAAACTAATATGTCTTACTCAGCTCACCAGGTAAAAACAAGGGTTACAGAGAAGAAACAGTGCAGACAATGCTTAATAAAGGAAAAGCCTATCTGCCCTGGTGATATGCCTTTTCCTTTTACCAAAAAAAACAAACAAAAAAACTAAACATTCTTAGCTCAAACTAGACAAAGATTTCTGATGATTTCCTTCAGCTGTGACTTCTGCGATGGCAATATCTGTCATTGGGTCAGCCACTGTGGTACAGACAGAAATATCTCAACTGCCATTACAGCTGAACTGCCATAAACACAGGTCCCAGACATTCACAGTCCCTAGAAGATTAATTATTAAACTCTACTTTTCATGTAGCACTATCATCTGATCTTAATTTACCCAAGTCTTCAGTTTATGACCAAATGTGAATTTGTAAATGCCCCCTTACAAATCCATGAAGTCTTATGCCCCAGAAATTAGTGATACTGCCATCAGGATCTGCTGTGCTTTGGGTTTAGTTATCCTGCTAACATGCTAAAGTACAAAATGATGGTGAACAAGGTAAACATTTTACCTGCTAAAACAGCATGTTAGAATTGTCACTGTGATCATGTTAATGTGCAGATATTAGTGTTTAGCTCAAAGCATTACTGCCACACTGAGCCGCTAGCGTGGCTGTAGGTTCGTGGTCACCCTGACAACTTAATGTTGATAATAATACAGATGATAATAATTATTTGTTAAAATATATGCTGGGAAGGACTGTAAACACTATAAATACCAGGAATAGATTATAATAATCCCTCAGTAGAGAAATAATCTATTTCAATAAATGATGATGAGTAAAAGCCCCCTTGGCACAAAGTATTGTCTTTACAATGAAAGCTACCATATTTTTAGACACAACTCAACAAGTCTATGCTTTCTCTGTACAAAGAGCCAACATGAAAAACTGAGGGGAAAACCCTCAAGAATTTAAACAGCAAAAACATCTGACTCCACTTTGATTCATCACACCCTGTTAGAAATGTCAGCTCTTTGATAACCTGTGGTTTTCAAGTCTCTCTAACTACTTGACAACCCTGCCAAGTGTCATACTGTACCCTGACAATTCTCTCTGTGTGGGCATTAATAAAAAAAAAAAGATGTCAACTTAAGTGGCACAGCTTCTTACAGGCCGTTCACACATAGAAATTCAGTGTGAATGAGACCAGGCTGTGCTGTGTCCCTGCTGAGCTCGACAGACTCAAAAAGCTCAAAAAGAGGAAAGCTGAGAAAGGCTGCAATCTGATCGAGTGCGGGAGACAAATGGGCGAGAGCTGGTCGTGATCGTGACTTGTCTTTAAGGACATAAAAAAAGAACAACGTCCAACACTGCTTGTGTGTCTAGTGAAGGAAACATCAGAAAACAACTGTTCAGTCAGATCATGTTACATGCTCAACACAACACATCCGCTGAATTACAGATTCACAGGAGGCCGGAAACTGCCAACTACTTGTATATGCATGCATGAATGCACCATTACTATTCGAGCCACGAGGACAGGTGATGGAAATGAAGTGGGTCTGCCTGTTCCTTCTGTACTGGGCCTTTGTGGAACTCTCTGCTCAAGTGGTTTGTTAGAGGGCAATGACAACACTGGCTGGGCTGATGATAAACAGGCAGTGAATATCAGGTAGCCAACAGTGAACTTGAAGGGACTGAAGGACAGAATAGCTGACGAAAATGAAAATAATACGAGGGTTCACATTGTATCAAAGTGTTTACCAGTGAAGCATTGAGGTGTTACTCACCACCTGAGTGGGCCTGAGAGATTCTCCGTCAAAGTGTACGAGGCTGAAGCTGTCTTCTGGGAAACCATCACAATCCTCCAGCTCCTGAGAATTACAAGGGGTCTTGTCCCTGTCAGGGTTTCCATTCTGGACAGGCAGGGGGAATACAAAAACAAGACAGACGCTACTGTTACACTTGTTTTGCATTTATTAACATGTAAAAAGCTTCATTTGCACTGAGGGTCTCAAGTGGACCCAGATGATGTTAATGAAAGCTGAGGGGGAAAGAGGAGGCCGAACATGAGACGGAGAGTGACTCAAGGAGAAGATGTGTGACGACGTGTAACGAGATGTCAGGAAGACGACAAAGCGGAGGAGCTGGAGGGGGAAGTGACAGAGATGAGAGGCCACAGAGGAGGGAGGTTGCCAACAGCCAGAATGGTGGAGTTTAATAAGACATGTAGGGGAGGTCATGAGAAAATCTCCTGAGAAAACAAAGCCGAGACAAAGCTATGTTTCATGAAGATTTTATGGTTTTATATATTTTCAAACACATACTGCTGAGTGATTTAACCCTATAATAATTTAATTAAATACATACTGTGAAAATCTGGTAACATTTTATTTATTTATTTTCAGATTAATGTCCTTAAAATTACTAAGGATGTTGCCAAGAAAGTATTACATTAGTTGGTAATAATTATAGTAGAATGGGGTAATATTCAATTGTTATACTTCCAATTAATTTATTCTAATTGCTACATAATCTAAAGTGCATTTAAGTGCTTAGTTAGCAGATAAGCTGATGATGCAAAAATGTATAATTTTAACAGAAAATATAACTCCAATAATGAACAGGAAATTAATATTTGTGTTTAAACGTGCAATTCTGTTGCAGTGCGTTTCTATTTTACCCATAATTGGCACCAAGTTATCAAGTTCTTTCCAGGAAACTTTCCTGGGCAATTATTTGTAAGTTACAATCACAATAAGTCACAAATCACAAATCACAAGACTTGCCCCATCTCAATTTTGGCTAAAATTATGTAAAACTAGTTTATGGAAATTATGCAAATATGATTGAAATGTTCAAATAAGGTTCAAAATGTACATTACAAACTAGAAAAGAATAAATTTCACTTAGTTAAAAATAATACTTAAAAAATATTTTTAACAATAACTGTGCAAACGTTTTTTGTTTAGTCTGTAGAAGAAAAAAAAAATCTCAATTTTGGCCACTATTTGCATTGATAAATATGTTTTATATCTAAATCCAGGTGGCTCGGGCACCTGTTTCGGATGCCTCCTGGGCGCCTTCCTAGGGAGGTGTTCTGGGCATGTCCCAACGGGAGGAGGCCCCGGGGAAGGCCCAGGACACGCTGGAGGGACTATGTTTCTCAGCTGGCCTGGGAATGCCTCGACATTCCCCCGGAGGAGCTGGAGGAAGTGTCTGGAGAGAGGGAAGTCTGGGCATCTTTGCTTAGACTGCTGCCCCCGCGACCCAATTCCGGATTAGCGGAGGAAAATGGATGGATGGATGGATATCAAAATCCAATGAGCAGAATGTCTCAAATGTTTTTATGCTTTTATTTTCCTCTGCTCAATATGTCAACTCTGCACAAAAATACAGTCAGGGAAAAAATTATTTGAACCCCAGCTGATTTTGTAAGTTTGCCCACTAACAAAGAAATGATCAGTCTACAATGTCAATGGTAGGTTTATGTGAACAGTGAGAGACACAACAATAACAAAAAAATCCAGAAAAATGCATTACAAAAAAGTTTATAAAGTAATTTGCATTTTCATGAATGAAATAAGTATTTGATCCCTTTGCAAAACGTGCTTTGCTTTGGTGGCAAAACCTTTGTTGGCAATCACAGAGGTCAGACGTTTCTTGTAGTTGGCCACAAGGTTTGCACACATCTC